TGTGCACTCTGCAAGTCAAATGGCCACTCAAATGTGTGAATTCACTTTACATCTCTGGACATGCCCATCTTTGTTTGTTTTGGTTTTGTGCAGGTATACTGGAAAACCAAACAAAATGAGAATCCCCTAAAGCTCACATGATTAGGAGAGGAGCTGGCTGTCAGTGTGTCAGCTGACAGTGCACTTATGATTTTAGTTTTGGCTCTAATTATTGCTCTATAATCGTATTATTATAACTGGGTCGAAACTGACCCTAACAACACAAAGGTCATAATTTCCACCAGAGCACTTTATAATTTAGTGAAAATATATATGATTTTGTTGAAATAGAGGTTCTTGACAAAGTCAAAAAGCCTTGATGCAATAAAGAAATTGAAAGTGATTCTTTTATGCATTTAAAATTCAAAATGGGTCGGTGCCGACCCTAACACAAGAGGAAGGTAAATGTCAAAACATAAAGAAAAGTCCAGGAAAATCTAAGACGGGGATTGTGGGGGTGTTCTCCCCAGTTTAAAGGAATATAACCACATGACTTAGCAGCAGCCCAAAGACACGTGGTGCGTTTCAGTCATAAAATACTGGTGATGGAAAAGGAGAAGATGGGTTAAAAGTTTACAGCAGAATGAGGAAACTGCTTGACCTTAATCTAAGGCCAGGTTTTATGTCTGGGGTGGATCTCAGTTTGGCTCCTACCTGGAGAATGTATTCCTGGCATAGTGCATGATACTGTCAAAGTCATAGACCTCTCCCAGAGAATCCACCTCCCCAGGTTCCATCTTCAAAAAGTTATATTCCTGTCCTGAATTAGGTGGAAAAGGAAAAGTTGAAACATAATGTTAAGTTTGAAAGAGTGAATGTTAAGCATAAATGTATGGAAAAGGTAAATACAGTTGTTATCAATCATGAAGTGGGAAAAAACCTTTACTGAAGATGTTCCATTTCATAAAGGTCAGTTTAATCACTTACTGTATCCTAGAAATCAACTAATCAAGAACTGATTTTTAAACAGTACAACATTTAACGTGTGTGTTGTATTTTTTGGCATAAATTCATACTATTACATTAACTATTACATTAAGTGAATAACATTTTTACACCAGGACCCTGGCCTTTGTGCAGAGGCAGCCATGTTGAAAACATAATTATCTGGGGAAAGAAATCTAATAAAGCGTTCCATAAAAAGGTGGTTATGGCTCATATTTTTGAAGCAAGACACTATTGGCCAGCTCTGGTACTGCAACCAAAATATAATTTCTGGGTGGCATCAAAAATCAAAATACAGATACAGACTTCCATCAATTGACAATCTATGAGATGTTCCACATAGCATTCATTTTATTAATAGTTCATCATCTGTTGTGTCTTCACAGCATTATTGCTGGCAGATTGCACCGTGCCCTCCATTGCTCCTACCTGGCTGAATGTTGTCCCTGATGATGCTGACGTGTTCGTCTCGGTCCGGCCGTGTGTGCTCATGCCAGAAACCAATCACGTGACCCAGCTCATGCACCACAATGCCAAACTTGTCACAGTTTTTCCCAATGGATATGGCCTGGGGGCCCCCTCCGCGGCGACCCACGTAAGAACAGCACCTATGAATCAGCAGCCAGACGCACAAACAGAGAGAGGCAGTGTATAAGTCAAGGCAACACATAACGACTTGATTTAGTGTTTTACATACATTAATAAAAAGGAGCGAGCTGAAACAGGTTTCCATGGTAGGAGGGACTGGGACTGTGTTAGTGGCTCTACAGTGTCTGATACATTTTTTTTACAGTGTGTTTATGACATAATTTCATCATTTGTTTCCTGGAGGTGATTTTGCTTGTATTGACCCTTCGCACACATCAACATCAGTAGTATTACTTCATCCATCTGCCAACGCAAATGCTGCAAGTGACGTTGGAAACTGACTGCAGTGCTGTACCTTAGTGTGACAAACAAACAAGCAAACAAACACACACACACACACACAAACACCTTGGCCCTGTGGGCCAGACGGCCGCTCTCTAATTACTGCCGGTCAGGCCAGGCTCTCTCCTGAGACACGCCTTGAACTTTGCACAGCAGAGACGGGAGGCTGCTGAATATGCAGCAGAGTGGAGTGTTCCCACTGCTAACCGCTGCCGCCCGCGTGGATAATGTCATCCCTGTTGCTCTGGGGATGGTAGGCCAGCTACCAGGCTAAAAGTGGCTGACGGGCCAACGGCTGGAAAGACTTTCATGAGCCGCATCCACTTTCTGTATGAGCTGTTTATCTTAAATGACACACATCAGCGGGAGAGATACATTGTGTGTACTGACATAATGCTTCCAGTTTTGTGGGCTAAATCCTGGAGAGGTTTAAACATGGGAAGTCTTGAGCGTTTTCCATCTGTGAGATGCTTCTTCCAGCATTTCTGGCCTCCTTTTCTTCAATCTCTTTAAATTAATTAGGTTGCACTGGTTTCTATTCCCTATGGCAGGGCATTAATTTAAAAAAAAAGAGTCCAAATGTGGCAAATGTTTTCTCTTGTTTAAAAGAGTTGCTGAATGGACACTGAGAATAACTTCAGAGAAGTGCAGACAACTGGAGGACACAGATGTTATGGAGGTCTGTCCCTGGGTGTACTCCTAGTGTATGACAGGTCAGTGAGTGATGCAGTGGGAGGATAAGGCAAAGGAAACACTGAAACACTGACCACTGAATATCTGTCTTTTACTGGACTGGCAGGGGGTTGAAATAACAGCTCACACAGACTTAGAAACAGGAGGAAGGACAATAAAGAAAGGCTGCAGGGAAGCAGCAGAGGAGACCCACCAAGGTGCTACATAATTAGGTAGCAACAAAACAACAGAGGGTGACCATTGTTCTGTTACTGCTAGCAGGAGCTGAAAACCCCACTGACTCACCCACATGGTCTGTAGGTGAAGACAATATAGCTCTCCTCCTGCGTCCTCGCTATAAAGGTCACACAGGTGTGTTTCTCCCAGTGACGCATGGCCTGGCGGAATATCGCCCGCTGGCTGCCTGAAAAAATAATGAACAGACAGAGTGAGCTCAGTGGAGCTAAAACAGAAACACATTCATCAATTCAAAAAAAAAAAAAAAAAAAACCTATTGAAAGAAAACGGCACGAAATAATCAATAACCACCCAAGACGAAGAACGTGTTTTAAAGGTTTTTCAATTTTAGGCTTTTACACCAGAGGTATTTTTATCGCTTCTCATAATAGACTCATAAAATACAAATTCTTTTTGGTGTGTGTGCAGCACACAGAAATGGAGAAAAAAGTTTTACAAACACACTCAAAGGTACTTTTTTTAGCTAGTTTGTTTCAGGTTGGAGAACTTTGAGCATCAACTGATGAAAAGCTGCGTTTTTGTTTGGCAGTAATTGCAGCACTGGTTGACATGTAAATTTACTACAAATCATTTTAACTTTAATCTTCTCAACTTCTCTTTAGGTCAAATGTAACACTAAAAGGTGCATCATTTCTGTATAAAAATGGGGCCTTAAAAAAAAAAATTAAAAACACATTATGGTTTTTTATCATCTTTACCTTAGGAGGAGGCTCTATGTCACTTACCACTGAAGTTACCACTGATGACATAGGGAATAACACCTTCAGGCCAAACACGCTCGGGTCTGGAGGTAGCAGCTCTTTTCTTACGACTTGTCTCTTGTCTGTTTGAGCCTCTCCGATTGGCTGATCCTGTAACATAAAACAAAAACAACAGGTTAGAACAGTGTGTTAATTATTATTTCTGCACAAAGGACTTTTTATTAAATCCTAAGTTCAAGAGTAACCATGGAGACTAAGCTTCCACCTAAACCTTTTGATTATAATGAGAATCGTACACATGCATGGGAAGACACGTACCACAGCAACCCTACATTATGCTGCAGAACAAACAGTGAAGCAAGTTAAGAGGAGACTGCATCTGGTTTGAACTTATAAAATGTCAAACAATTTCAAATAAACTTCTGAACTGTCAAAAGTCAGTTAAAGGTCGTACAATATATACAATATATATATATATTGTTGTTGCTGGTGTGTGGTCAAAGAAGGGGCATAACAGTGGTGTAATACCTTTTATTTACAGCTAAATGTAATGAATATTGCTTTAAAAAGGTGGAATTTGCAATCATTAAATTTAAAAAGTGAAGGGGCAGATTGAAATACATGATAATTCTATGACATACACAATAAACAAACTCGGTCTGGTTTGTGTTTTTGAACAGTTACAGTGAATTTACTTCTAAGTAAGATTTGATTTGCATAGACTCCTAAATATACAAAATCAAAATACCCTGAAATAAACTTATACGGTAATTTAAGATTCTCCCTTCCACTAGGCCCCAGACTGGTATTGGGCCGTGGATCATTTAGCACCGGACTCTAAATAAAGATTAAAGTTGTTGAAACTGTGTGTTTTCTTTTAATTAGTAATTTAATTAGTCTACCGGGAATTTTTTTTTGAAAAATTGTCACTTCCTCTCGGACATTTGCAATTAATCATCCCACAGATTCTGCATAAAGTAAGTGATATAATTATTACATAATTATAGTTAAATGTCATATTATGCACTTGTCAATACTTATTAGACTGCAATCATACTGTAATATTGATGTAAAAATAAAACAATTATAACCATAACCATACGGGAATAGAAATAAACGCACATATGTATGCGTTTACACTTTCTACATGTTCTCAGTTGTCACAAAATGTTGCAGGTTTCCTGTTTTACACTAAAACCTACCACTTCATATTTTTGAAAAAGAGGGCTTAAAATGAAGAATTTTCAAAAATATATCCTAACTTGTTGCTTATTTTAAACAGCAAAGAACAAAACACTGATTAGGGTTTTCTTCCATTTTGCAAACCCTACGCCAGCAACACTTCATAAGCCTTCATCTCGTCTCATTTAATTTTGAATAACATGGCTTGCTGGGAGAAAGTTTTTCACTCAGCTTGCTAGAGTAAATTGCAGCCACCTGCAGATCAATTAGCACCTACACTTGTACATGTGCTGAGGAAATGTCTGTGATAACAGAGCAGCCCACTCTGCTCAGTGAGCTAAGATAAAAGGTGCTGGAGAGACACAAAATTGTTGAAAAAAAAACTCAATTCAAAATATGAAAACATGTACAAGTTGTATTGTACAGAAACACAAAGACAGATTTTAAGTTTTAAACAATTATTGATTTGCTTTGTGGTCATGTTCTTTATTGAACCAAATGTCCTTTGGTGGATGTGGGAGGACTAAGTTAATGGCACATGAACATAAGGTCACAGATTCAACAAGTGTTAGGACAGGTTTTAGATTGGAACAAAATAAGAGCACTTAAATATGGGATTCATGATTCATTTTCCTAAGAAATAAAAGCTGTAAGAACCTAGGACATAATTCTCTAACTTGATCACTACAAATCGTAAATATGCTTTTGTTTCTGCCATAAATCCTCCTCACAGCGAACCACCAGCCTCCTCTTTCAAGCAGCAAAGGACTTGATGAACAATAAGAATCCTTCATCATGTCCTTCTGACAGTATGCCTGCCAGAGGTTTTAAGATTTTTCTTTAGTAAATAGCTCTCTGTCCACTATCAGTGTCCACACTTTTTAATGAGAGTCTTTAAAGAAAAGACTATATTAAACTTTAAATCCTTTAAAGAGCTGATATTTTTTATTTTTATTTTTTGAAAGAACTTCAGTCTGATTTCAATCCTCACGACACTATACTGTATCTGCTCTTATCAAAATAGCCTATGACCTATTGCTTAACAGCTGATACTGGGAACTGTTCAGTTTTAATCCCTCTGGACTTTAGCTCTGCCTCTGAAACTGTGAATCATTTTACTGAACAGACAGGAATATGGAAAAACCATGACGGGACTCCATTATAAAAAGTGTTAAACATTCTCTGTGTCTTGGATATAAACCTCTCGTCAGGCATCCCTGTGCATCCTTGTGGCAGTTCCACAGGGCTCAGATCTTGGCCTGTTTGCTTTTGTATGTACATGTTTATACACAGACAATACTGAGCTTTATGTCACAGTACGTAAAAAGAAGAAAACACAAAATAAAAAATGATTCATGGCTGACTTAAAGCAGCTTTTACAACTGAGTTTCAGAAGATCCTAGGTCCTTTTACCTATTAAGTTAATCCTTTTTAAGGCTTAAAGTTATTATACATTCTTCACAAAACATTGTTTCCTCCACATAATCATCCGCTAGAAGCACATTACCAAAACGTACCATGGAGTCTCCGACTACAACATGCACACACTTGCCAGTTCATGCTCACCTGTATTTTACGTGATTGCGAAGCCTAGTGACTCACAGCTGCTGTTTAAATACTGCTTTTAGATTTAACAACAAAGTTTAGCCTGATAAATCCTAGCAATTACTGTTGAACATGGAGCTACAAGTGTAGCAAAATGATGGCTGTGTGCATAGAACAGGAGCTCATGAGATAAAAGCTTAATATTGTTGAGTTAAGTATCTGATGTTCGTGACGTGTTAACATCCAGGTATGTCATTACTTTTAAATGTTAAACAAGATGCAGTCATGGTGTTCCTGGTGTTGCTTTAGCTTAGTTTTTTGTATAGAGATTTTTTAATCAATGACTTTAAGCTGTTAGTTGTCAAGGCGGGAATTGTGATGTTGTTACCTGCACTTGTGCGATTAAAAGTGTAGACGGTTCTCTGGGCCAAATCTACTATTCTGTCCACTTTGAATGACCGCAGATCCTCCTCATCCAGAGCAATGTCTCCCAGAAAGGCAGCTGAAACACACAGACGCAGATGTTAGATGGAGCAGAATAGACAACCGAGGGAGAAATGTATAAAGGCTAGGTTCACAATGATGTTGAAATACACATGACAACTTGGTATGGATTATGTTGCACTGCTGTTGTGAGCAGGTTTTTGGCAAAAAATCTAACACCAATGTCAAAGAAAACATACAATATCATAAATCCAAAACATATTTGCCTTTGAATTGTGAATGTGTGAATTAGTTAAACACCAAATAAAGTCAGTCAAAATGCAGACTGACTTTAGGACAGAAATGGATGCATACGCAACAGTTTTATGTTTGACACTCGTATTTCTGGCAAAGAAATAAACATATTGTTATGTTTTGTGGATGAAATGTATTCATGTGTTCATATTTTATAGAAGTATGCAACATATATAATCATGTTTTAAAAGATCATAAGAAATGCGCTAAAACATATAACCTGCCTAAAATATAAATATGCTGCTTGTGGAAAATATAAAATGTATTGCATATAAACATGCTTTGGAAAATGTGCAAATATGTAATCTGTGTGGAAGCATAAGCATGCTGCTTGGATCCTGCAATATAAAATACACAGACACTCTGAAACAGGAATTAAGTTAAACTCAGGATGTGTAGTGAAACATCTGATG